TAGTAGCTGGGATTACAGGCAAGTGCCACCACGCCCAGCTAATTTTTGTATTTTTAGTAGAGACAGGGTTTCACTATGTTGGTCAGGCTGGTCTTGAACTCCTGACCTCAGGTGATCCACCTGCCTCGGCCTCCCAAAGTGCTGGGATTACAGGCATGAGCCACCGTGCCCGGCCGGTAATTCCTCTCTCAAGGTGAATTTTTTTCACCTCCATTTATTCTCTACTTTTCATTTCTGTGAGCAAATGCAGTTTCATGATTATGAGGTCAACCCAGAGAAGTTCTAAATCCAATGTACTGTGAGTAGCCCCTTTAATTTTCCAGATGCCGTTTTTGGCCTAGTCCTATTTATGTGTGCCGAAATCCACAAATAAATAAATATACTGCAGGACCAAATTAGAGATTCTAACCATTTTTATTGCCTGTTCCAGATGGCAGAGGCATGTCTTTATATAAGAAACCCTCAAATCATACAAAGGGAAGCGACCTGGACTACCCTCAATCAAGCCAGATCATGATTTTCTTACCGCTAAGCACCCTTTAAGTCATTTTTCTGGATGTTTATCCACTTTCTAACAAGATATACAGTAGTCTCCCCTTGTACATGGTTTCACTTACTGAGGTTTCGGTCACCTGTGGTACAGTACACTAAGATACTCTGAGAGACTACATTCACATAATTTTTATCACAGTATATTACTGTAATTGTTCTACTGTATTATGTTATTGTTAATCTACTACTGTGCCTTATTTATAAACTAAACTTTATCATAGGTATGTATGTATAGGAAAAAAACACAGTATATATAGTGTTCAGTACTATCTGTGGTTTCAAGCATCCAGTGGGGGTCTTGAAACATATCCCCTAAGGATAAGGGGGAAATACTGTAATCTTCAGAGGGGAGATTATGTATATTTCTGTTTTTACTCCCTTATAATGCCAAGACTTGTGGGTGCTCAACTGTTAGTAGTCAAAAGTATTCTGTCAGAATTACCCTCTCACACAGTCTGGAACAGTACTGAAATAACCATTTTTGTTGACTTTTCTTAGTGCACAGCCAAATCAAAACACACATACATTAAAAGATGGAATAGTAAATAAATGAATTTTCTTTTTGCTACTTAATACCAACTGAGGGTGCAAATTGGGTACACATTGATGCTTACAACTAATTCCTGGGACACAAAAGAAAGTAATGAAGGAATAAAGGGGAGGGAAAAATATCAAGATGTAGGCAATTCCCAAGTTTCTCACTAATTCAATATTCTTTCAAAATGTAGTCCCTGAACTACCTACCAACATCCGAATTCCCCAGGCTACTTGTTATATATACAGATTTCCTGGCTACTACTCCAGTCCTTGTGAATCTGAATCTGGAGAGGCTTCTAAAATCTCAATGATTCTTTTTTTTCCTTTTTTTTTTTTTTCAGATGGAGTTTCGCTCTTGTTGCCCAGG